TATACGGTGTCATGAGTGTGCCATCTAGTGGCTTGTTTGCGTTGCTATCGCTGAATTTGGGGAAAAGGAAATCTGGCCGAGCAATCTGGGTCAGATTATGAGTTCTTTGTAGAGGAACTGTCGCTGAGTGCAGTATTTTTGGCGGGCCCTAGACCGAGGGCATGGGAATGCTAAACTCTCTGCGCTAGGTAACGCCCAACAGGAGCCTTGGCTAAAGGCAAGCCAGGCTTGAATGCTTATAAGGTTAATGTAGTACTCTTCAGTGTAGCGCATTACAGTGTACTTCATTCAGAGCATTGAATCTGAGAACACCCACAGGAAAGACCAGTGGAAAGGAACACATTAATATTTTAGCAGCAACTCGAAAACATAAGTGCCCACACGTGACAACAGACTATGACTGACTGGACCACCAATTAGTGGTAGAATGAAAAAGTTTGGTAGCTCCTCAAAAAGAATTATGTATGGAATTAACCACATGATCCAGCTACTCCACTGTTTAGTAAACCCAAGATAATGAAAACCATGTTCAGACAAACTTGCATAGTTTTACAGAAGCTTTATTCCTAATAGCTCCAACGGAGAACCAACTCGAATGTCCACCAGTTGCTGCACGAATAAACTGATCTGTTCTTGCAGCTGAATGTCATTCAGTCTGAAAAGGGAATGAAACATTTGCTCAGCTACGTTGTGAATGAACCTTGAACATGTTAAGTGAAACAAGTAAGATAAAGTGGCCATCTGTTGCATTCCATTTATATGAACATTCTAAGAATAAGGAACTCTATGGACAAAAATATTATCAAATGCCAGGAAGTGGGGATGGGAAGAAATATTTTTTTAAACTCTTGCATTTTATATTTTAAAGTGGTCAGTTTCATGATACATTTTAGGCCTTCAAAGGCTCAAGACAAACCTGTCTGAGTTATAAGATTATAGTTAATCTTAATTAAAATTAACCATTATTTGTTATTATGTGCATGCATGTATTTCTGTCCAAAGAAAGACATGAAGACCAGAAACCTATGGTAAGTATATTATGTAAATGTCTCAGATGATAAACAAAAGTAATATAACATAGATGTGCCATCATAATGTAAATACATATAAATGTATAATATAGTCATAGAGGGAAGACAGAAGCAGCAATATATATGTAAACAGGCATATCATTTGAAGCTAGACTAAAGTTACAGAAATACAAATGCCAAAGTAACTAGAAAAACAAATTAGTTAATTAACTATTAAATTTGATTACAAGGAGTTGTTCCTCAATTTACAGTGGTTCAACTTAGTGATTTTTCCACTTTATGATAATATTGCAAAAATTATACATACACTAAAAACTGTATGTCATACTCTTGTGAGTTACAGTTCTCATTCATTTTTAACTTATGATGACTTTCTCAGGAAGAAATTGTATCATAGGTGGAGGAAAAAGTGTACTCAATCCAAAAGTAAGTTAGAGAAAGGGAAAACTGGAATGAAGAACAGATGGAACATCATAATAAATGTCAGGATAGTAGAATCTAACAATGTCAATAATCACAGTAGCTGAAAATGGTATAATCATCCCATTAAAAATCAGAACATATGGGAAATGTAAAAGTCAATACTTAGCTATACTACCTAGAAATGCAACACTTCAAATTTAAAGAGCTAAAAGCAAATGAATGAAAGGGAAATACTAGGCAGACATAATCATATTAGACAATGAGATCCCACAGTCAATTATTATTAGGGATTAAAAATGATAAAGGGGGGCCCTCCCTGGTGGCGCAGCGGGTTAAAGCACTGCACTGAGAAGCTTAAGCCACTTCTGCATGAGTTCGATCCCTGCCTGCCCCAAAGGTGACCACATGGCGTGGCAGACCTCTCCTGACCCGCCCACTGCTCCCCTCAGCAGTGTACTTCGTCGATCTGCCTGTTCTGCTCCCCTCTCTGTCTTTGGTGAATTCTCTCACCTTCTGCATCTCTGGCCTGTACCCCAGTTCTGTATGAATAAATAAATAAATCTTTAAAAAAAAATTTCAAAAAAAAAAGAAAATGATAAAGGGGGCCCTCCCTGGTGGCGCAGCAGGTTAAAGCACTGCACTAAGAAACTAAAGCCACTTCCGCATGAGTTCGATCCCTGCCTGCCCCGGAGGTGACCACATGGTGTGGCAGACCTCTCCTGACCTGCCCGCTGCTCCCCTGAGCAGTGTACTTCGTTGATCTGCCTGTTCTTCTCCCCGCTCTCTCTCTGGTGAATCCTCTCACCCTCCGCATCTCTGGCCTGTACCCCAGTTCTGTATGAATAAATAAATCTTAAAAAATAAATGATAAAGGGGATCTCCTGCCAAAAGGACAAACCAATCCTATTTATACAGCTAGTAATTTATATAGGACCTCAAAATACATAAAGCAAAAACTGATAAGACACATAGACATACAAACCCATCATTACAGTTGGAACTCTCTCAATAGCACAAGTATATGAGTATAGAAACTATGAAAAACACCATTAACCAAGTTGACACATTGGACATTTATAAGACATTACATTAAAGAACAGCAAAATTTACAATTTTCTTTTCTTGTGAACATGAATTTACATACTTCAATAGGACATATTCTTGGACCATAATTAAATTTGTGAGTCCAGTTGAAGTATTTTCTCTGGGGCCCTTCTGGGTGGCGCAGCAGGTTAAAGCACAGCACTGAGAAGCTAAAGCTACTTTAGCATGAGTTGATCCTCGGAGGTGATCTGCATGGCCCAGTAGACTTCTGACCCACCCGCTGCTCCTCTCCTCATCAGTATAGTTCAGTCAGTTAGCCTGTTCTGCTTCCCACTCTGTCTTTGGTGAATCTTTTCACCGCTAAACTGATCTGTTCTTGCAGCTGAATGTCATTCAGTCTGAAAAGGGAATGAAACATTTGCTCAGCTACGTTGTGAATGAACCTTGAACATGTTA